GAGGTCCCTTCCAAGCCTGAGTCCATGATTCAGTTGCTTTCTGTCTTACTTTATCAATTAGAGGGATTTTCTTTTCCATTTATATGGGAGGTTCTTGACATTTTAAAAATGGAAGAATGTCCTGGCCAAGGTCATCAAAGAAAATGTGTCTACTTTACACTATTTACTTTCATGATTTTTTTTGTTTCTCAAACTCAGGTTGCCACTGGATTTTGTGCAGTCCTTTTGAGGATTAACTCTTTTTCCCTTTAAGAGAATATAACTCTAAAATAATAAAATTAACTTGACCTTGGAAACTAGATTGGCAGAGCAGGGAAGACCTTAGAAAACATCTCATTAATTCCATTATTTTACAATGAAGAAACTGAGGAGCAAAGTGGTGATGCAACTTTCTAAAGGTCAAAAACTCATAGCAAACAAAAGCTAGAAGAATATAGGCCTCCTAGAGACAGCTTGGCAGAGGAAGCAATGCTGGACATAGAGTCAGAGGACCTCAGTTTGAAAATTGACTTTGTTCACCTTTCTGATGCTAGGTTTCCTCATCAGTAAAATGAGGGAGTTGAACTATGAGGTGACCTCAGGAAGCTCTCTTAGCTCTAAATTTGTGATCCTGTCGCCCTCTGTCTTCTGAGCACATAATATAAGAGGAAACTTTCTAAATATTAGAGAACTGCAACGATGAACTTCATAGTAATAAAGTCCCCAATCATTGGAGGTTTTCAAGTGGAGATTGGATAGTCACTTGCCAGAGATGTTAAAGAGGAGATTTGTACTTCAAGTAGGGGTTGAACTAGATAACAGCTCAAGAATAATCAGGATAGCAGTCACAGAATCATGTTTAGAATTGGACGGAAACTTAGAGATCATAGATTCTAACCTCATTTTACAAATGAGAAAACTGAGTCCCACTGTTATTAAATGATATTCCCAGGGTGACATAACTACTAAGTGTCTGAGGGCAAGATTTGAATCAGTCTTCTGAACTGAAAGTCATGCTCTCTACCCACTAGAGTGTGCTGCCACATTTTAATGGGAGTTACAGTTCACAGCACATTTCCCTTATAGCAACCCTGTGAGGCAAGCTATAATTAATATATTGTTCCTCTGGTAAGAATAATATAGGAAACTGAACTTCAGGGGGAAAAAAGGGACTTTCCCAAGGTCTCTTGGCCTGTAAATAGAAGAGCTGGGACTTAAATATAGAAAAGCTAACATTTTAAGCAAGAAGTCATTCTGGTAAGGCAAATTCTTACTTCCCTTAAGAAAATATTGACTGAGGTAAACAAGCCAATCACTCTTGCACGTCCAGAGTTAAGAGGTACCTGTCAGAACATGTCCTGTTGAATGGCCACGAGGGTTTTCATGGTCTGCCTGAGGCTGAAATTAGAAACCAACTGGAAAAACTAGATAATGTCTTTCATAGAACATAAAAGTTCAGGGTTTGCTACCCAGAACCTATATAGGCTAGTTTTTGGAAAGGTGGGACCAGAAATATCACTAACCTGAGAATTTAGAGACCTGAGACATATCGCTGCTTCAACTATAAAGTTGTGGTAAAACACTACAAGTCATTTTCTGTCTCCAAGTGTCAGTTTCCTCTTCTGGAAATCCAAAGATTTAGCCTACTTTCAACATACTTTTAAAGGCGAGGTTCTGGGTGAGCAGTGTCAGACATGTCCATGCAGCATAGTGAAAGGTAATGCCACAGTGATGAGTAATGTTTGCAGGAAAAGCAATTTGCAAATTCATCAACCTAGTCCGAGGAAATTTAAAAGATTTCTTTCTCAGCTCACTGAAATACTTTCATAACATGCAGTTGCCTTGAGGTATCATTATTATTTTTTCTTTATCAGTATTTCAGATATGTCAATAATGATGATGCTAAATTCCACATGTCAAGACTCTATTATTGCATCAGCTTGGGTAGTCTCTCTATCAAAAGTTCCATTGACATCTTAGAAGACACTCATCCAATCCAATCCATTCTAACTATTTATTAAGCGTGTAATCTATGCCAAGCACCCTGTTAGGTGCTGATGGTATAAATACAAAACAAAACAAAACAAAAATTACCACAGACTCAAGAGGTTTACATTCTCCTTGGGGAATGACACTCAGAATTAAACATAGCATTCCAGATGTGGGATAAGTCTTTTGGTTGCTATGTCACACTATTATCTCATAATGAATTTATGGTCCAATAAAATTATCATTTTTTTCATGTAAACTGTTTCATCACATTTCCGCTAACCTCTAGTTGGGCAGTTGATCTTTAAAAACTAAATGTAGGGTTTACATCAATTCCAATAAAGACTCACCCATTACTCTAATTTGGCAAGGTTGGAGGAGACTTGATACCATTATCCAATTTAATATATATCTTCTCCCCCACCAGCTTTGGCATTTGTAGATTTAATGCCATCATTTTTGCTTTCATCCAAGACATTAATTAAAGTGTTGAATGTGGTTAAAGATAACTCCATGGAGTTTCCGTTTTAGAGAACTCCTTCTTGGTTTACAATGATCTATTAATGACTGAATTCTTTGGTCCAATCATTCAAGCCAGTCTTTTTCCCAAGAAAATGTATAATAGTATAATCCTCATATCTACATCCCATCCACAAGGATAATGTGAGACATTTTAACAAATGCTTTGCTAAATTCAAAGTTTACTATGTCTATGGCATCCTCCTTGTCTTCCAATCTAATATTCCCAATAAAAAAAAGAAGAAAAAGGAAATGAAACAAAAAAATGCAAAAAAATATCTCTAAGGTTTCACCTTATACTTATCAAATCACTAAAGCTAACCAAAATAAAAGTCAATGTTGGAGAGATTGTTTGATGAAACTGTGAAGAGTCTAACTTTTCTTGATAAGTTGAAATTATGCAAGAAGAGTGATTAAACACTTCAAACCCTTTGAGCTACCAATCCTACTACTAAGCATATATTCCAAGGAACTGAAAAATAGAAACAAAAAGTCAATGTATACCAAAATAATCTTAGTGGTATATTTTGTGATAGCAAAGCACTGTAAACAAAATGAGTGCCCATTAGTTGAAGAATGGCTAAAAAGTTATGTCATGTGAATCAATGTGCAGCCAATCATTGTCCGTGGTATATGAACAAAATAATCAATTTTTAAAAATGAATGAAATGGGACTAACCTGGCACAATCTATCATAAAATCGAACACAGAATGGACATTTTTCCATAAGGTTCCAAATTTCTCTACTTCAGTCTCTAGTTCTTCCTGGTTGGTAAGAATCAGATCCAGACTAGCAATTCCCTTTGTTATTTCCTCTACCTTTCAAAAGATGAGATTACTACTAGAGAAAATCCTGGAAGGAGTAACTACTCTACTTTTTATATGAAGAGAGCTCTAGTAAATGTCAAGATATTGAAATTTCCTCCTTACTCTGCACCAAGCTTTTGATCACTTTCCCAAACTTCTCATATTTCCTCTTTTTGGCTAGTCCAGGAATTCTTAACCTTTTATGTGTCCTATATCCCTTTGGCAGTCTTTGGTGGAGTCTTTGCATCCTTTCCCAGAAAAAAATACTTTTAGATAAGGGAATGAGAGCTAGATTTTGGTTAGAACGTCAAGATGTCATTTTTCCTCATCCACATTCACAGACAACCTGATACCGGTCCATGATCCAGAGACCCCAGGCTACCATTGTTCTGCTGGCACTTGTGGTCAACCAGCCAGGACAACTGCTATAGCAAAGTGCTGGTGGTAATCCTGAACTCTAGTGATGCTTCTCTTCTTCACATGATGAAGGCTTTGATGGATATATTAGATTTTGTTTCTCTTGTCTTAACAACATCCTTCTTCCATTCCAGTTTTTCTCCTTGATTCCTTCTTGTCTTTCTCCTAGAGTCCTCCTCCTCTTTCTGCTCAAGTCCTCATCCTTCACTTACTAAATCTTCTCTTCCAAAAGGAACAAGCAGGTGAGATATTAAGAAGATGATATCAAATGAATACTTAATCTCTAGAAGTGCAATTTTCTTATTCTAGGTGAACATTTGGCAAGTTTGCAGATGGTAGGTCAGAATCATCTGTGCCAGGCTAATTTCTCTTATGCATACTGAAGTTGACCCTTATCTATACTATGTTTCGTAGAAAAGCAGGGTGATGTACTAGAAAGAGTCCTGGACAGAAGAGCTGGGTGGAATCCAGATTCTGTCCCTTCCTAGTTATGAGACTATGGCACTGAATATATATGAACCCTTCCTCTTCTGTCAAATGGGGATAATGATATTCCATCCCTCCTTCCTAGATATAGTGAGGAACATTTATCATTAGAGCTAGAAGGGAGCATGAAGTTTACACTTTTCATTTCATTGATGAAGAAAGTGAGGCCTAGAGTAGGACCATTGCCACACAATTAACCATTCTGATAGCTGGCATTTCAAATCTAGGTTTCCTGGTGCAAAATCTAAGACTCTATCCAACACACTCAGTGCTTTTGTAAATACAAGGCATTAAATAAATGTCACTATTACTAATGCACCATGAATTAAAATCATTTGTGGATATCAAGCCAATCTCAGAGTCAAGAAGACTTGGGTTCAAGTCTTGCTTCTAACCTACTGACTGTATGACTCTGGATAAGTCACTTAATCTCCAATGGCTCCAGGTAATTCTCTGAATTTAAGCTATAGAGCAGTTATTGGTCTGCCTTGGTAGAGGGAGTTTCACTGGAGAACTGTATGGGAGAACTCACTGGAATTTCCTATTTCAATGAAATCAAAAGTGCCAAGTGAAAAAAAAAATTTGTGAAATTATGAGAACTACTTCATGACATGATCTCCGCTCTTAAAAGCATCACTGAATTATTTGTTACATCAAATAAAGTTAATAACCCAGTTGTCTGACTGGTTGGACTTAACAATTAGGTGGGAGGAGTTCCCCCACCCAGGATGTGCCAACAGTTTGTATAGTGTCTCTGTAAGATTACAATATATAGGTGGAGAATACCTCTGTGGGCATATAAAAGTGATCCCACTCTTGGGTACTAATCCACTACTCTCCATGGAGAAGTCTCTTGCCAGTGATTCCAACTCTACCAGTTTGACCATGAAGATCAGTGGGGGTTTCCTACTATTGTTTGCCCTGGCTCATCTCTGCCTAGCCTCCCGTGAGTAAAATAGAACTCCTTCTCTAAAAGTATCTTTACCCTGGGATTTCCCCCAACTAGTCTCAATAGGATGAGTTTTCCTGACAGGGACAGAAAGGAGTCCTGATCTGAAAATTAGGAGACCTAGCTTCAGGGCCTTGTAACTTCCTTTCATTGAAGTTGTCTCCCAGGCTGTCAAATGAGCATAATGATGCTTATCCTGCCTCCCTCGCCATGATGTTATGAGGATCAGATTAAGTAATGTATGGGAAGTGATAATAAAAGCTTACATAGATGCCATTTATTATTGTTATTCCTGATATTAACTGGTTATATTGATTTAGAGATACAACGTGACACCGTGGAGAAAATCCTTGCCTGCAAGTCAACAGACCTAAGTTCTGAAAGTTGGAATTCTGCCATTGATGTGCTCAGTGACCTTCAACAAGTTAAACCACTTCTCTGAGCCCCAGTTTCTACATCTGTAGAAAGAGCTTGTTCTAAGGTTCCCTCCAGCTCTAACATTTTATGATCTGAAAGTACCAGCTCATCTATTAAATGAGGTTAGATTAAATAAACTCTAAGATTCTCTCTAGGTCAAAAGCTGGGTCTTTATTTCTAGCTAGGTAACTAGATGGTGTGGTGGATAGCTTGCTGGCCCTCGATTAAAGAAGACCTGAGTTCAAATCTGGCATCAGATTCACATAGAACTGTGACCCTGGGCAAGTCATTTAAACTCTGTTTGCCTCAGTTTCCTCAACTGTAAAATGAGGATAATAACAGCAGGGTTATTTTGAGGATCAAATGAGATATTTGTAAAGTGCTTAGCATAGTGCCTGACATATAGTAGGTGATATATAATTGCTTATTCTCTTCTCCTCTTCCCCTTAAAGTTTACAAAGTGCTTGCCTAAAATGCTTATAAAGTAAATAGTGCAAGTAGTTCCATTTTGCAGATGAGTAAATAGAGGCTTAGAGGTCAAGTTCTCAACTGTCTTACACAGTTGCCTAGAGCCAGATAGATAGTGCAATAGACAGAGCCCTAGATCAGGAGTCAGAAAGACCTCAGACACTTACTAACTGTATGTCTCTGACCATGTCATTTAACCTCAGTCTGCCTCAGTTTCTTCAACTATAAAATGGGGGAAATAAATAGCACCTAACCCCCGGGGTTGCTGCAAGGATTAAATGGGTTAATATTTGCCAAGTGCTTAGTACATTGTCTATTATATAGTATGCACTTAACAAATGCTTGTTTCTTTCCATCCTTCCAGTGTCACAGAGCTAGTAAGTGTGAAAACTCAGCCCCTAGCCCAGTTCTCTTTATTCCAAGTCAAGTGCTCTTCCCTTGATATTTATGTGGATAGATAATAGAGAAAAGAAAAAGCTTGTTGACTGACCTGGGCTGAACAAGAGTGGCCCAGGCCTAAATTATAAACCAACAACGACAGTTCAGAAGCTAACAATCTGCACAGCCTAAACCCAGCCTTTGTCACTTAGTTGAAGGAGAACAGCGATCACTGAACTGAACTTCTCTCTCTATTTCTGTTTCAGGAGTTCCTGGTCAGAATTTAGGGAAGGTAAGCAGATTGTTTTCATTTCCTTCTTATTATTCATTACCATACATTCATTGGGCAAGAATTGAATGAACATAGAATCCTATGCTACACTGTAGGGATCAAGAAGGTCCCTAAAAGAGGAGGGGCCTCATTACAGTGAACTTGGAATCAGAGGACTTGGGTTTGAGTTCTAAGCCCAACATTAGCTATGTGACTTGTCATTCTCTGAGACTTGATGTTCTCATCTATAAAATGAGAACAATAACACTTCCACTAGCAATCTCACAAAACTGTTGTGTAGAAAGTTCTCTGTAAAGTATAATAAGAATTGTTATTACATGCAGTGATTTCTCATTGAAAAACACTACTCTTAAGACTAGGACATCTATGCTCAAATTTATTTCTAGTACCTGTTAGTTATGGGACTGAGAGCAAGTAGCTTCCCCTTTTGGGAAAGTTTAGTTTCCTTATTTGTAAAATGTCAAGATTGGATTTGACTACAAAGATCACTTCTAGGTGTGTGGATAGGAGAGATGAAAAATAGAGCTTGAACTGGGGAAGTAACTTCCCTGCCTCATCATCCCTGTAGAAAATCCCTTGAAGAGTGAAACCCTCTCCTCTTACTTACATAAATGACCCTTGGTAATATTAGGAAATCTTATGGACAGATAGAAGAGGATATTCTAGAATACACTGGTTTTGTCAACTTCACCTTCTCCTGCAAGGTATTATTAAAGGCAGGAGCTGTAGGCTCAACTTCTGCCACACAGAGATGTATCCTGGTCTATGGTCAGCCTCTCCTCATAAAGGGAAGGGTGAAATGGATTCAAAGAACATCAAAAGACACAGGAAGGCCAACCTGGAGGGAGTATTAAAACACAGAACTTCAGACTTATCATGAGCTTGAGAAATAAAACATGAAATGTCTCAGCAGGAATGGCCCTTACAACTAAGAATGTTATTTATTCAAGCTGGAATGGATCTTGGAAAATAAGAGTTGAGAGGGACTTTGAAAGTAAGACAGAATAATAGCATTGGAAGGGATCTCAGCAATTACCTAATCCAAACCACTCACTTTATAGCTGAAAAAACTGATACTTAGAGAAGGATATAATTTAACTGAAAGCTTCCAGTAAGTTGATGTCAGAGTCAAGATTTGCAAACAGGTCTCTAGATTTTAGGCCAGGATTCTTTTCCTGTAAGTACAGTGACTTGCCTGTCTTATGAGTTTATAAGGTCAAGAGTTTTAAGTCTCTCTCTCTCTCTCTCTCTCTCTCTCTCTCTCTCTCTCTCTCTCTCCCTCCCTCCCTCCATCACTCCCTCCTCTTCCTCCTTTCTAGGAAGACTGCAGCATTTATAAGAAGTTCCCAGTGTCAGCTATTCCCTGCCCTGTTACATATTTCCCTGTGTGTGGTTCTGACTACATGACTTATGGCAATGGATGTCATCTGTGCATAGAGAACTTGTGAGTATGGAAAGAGGCTGAAGGAATGGCAGGGTGAGGGTCACTGCTTCATACATACATAGCACTTCCTTTTCTGATTGAATTACCAGACTAGCTTCTCATGGAAATGAGGTAGACATATATATATATATATATATATATATATATATATATATTATATAAATTCTTTCATGAAAGATTTGTAGATAGGCTAAAGACATGTGTGCTGCATGAGAATACAATTTGGTAGATTCAGAACTATCTGCATTAAAGGCTTCAAGGGTAATGGATAGATATCCAAACAAAGATCTCTAGTGAAGGGCCTTCTAGCTCTTTCTTTCATCCTGTACTATTCAACTTATTTATCAGTAATTTAGCTAAAAGCAAAAATTACTGCCTGCAAAAATTTGCAGGTGACATACAGCTTAAAAGAATGGCTAACACATTAAACAAAATTCAGACTCAAGAGATCTCAAGAAAGGATTAAATCTAATATGATGCTGTTTAATAAAGATAAATATACAGTCCTGCCCTTGGGCTCAAGAAATCACCTGCACAAATATAAGACAGGGAAGGCATGAATGGCTGTTAAGTAGTTTGTGTGGAAAAAACCTGGGAATCTTATGGACTATAAGTTCAGCATGATTTAACAGTATGACACAACAGAAAAGAAGACAAAAACAAAATAGTTGTCCTTCTATGTAGAAGAAGAATTACTTTTTCTGCTTGGTCCCAGAGGGTCATATACATATGTGTATATATGCATGTATATGTATGTTCATGCATGTATATATGCAGGTATATGTACATACACATACATATATACATATGCACATATATACATATATACACATACACACATATTTATACTCCTATACTCATTGCTTCTAGTTCTGTCCTCCGGGACCAAAAGGAAAAAAAATACATATATATATATATATATGTGTGTGTGTGTATATATATATATATGTATGTATATGTATATATATATATATATAAAATCTATGTGTGTGTGTGTACATGTATATAGATATAGATATAGATATAGATATAGATATAGATATAGATATAGATATAGATATAGATATAGATATGTAAACAGACACATACACATACACACTAGCAATAGAGCTGTTTTAAAGTTGAATGGCATCTTAGGGGATAGCACTTTCCTCCTTAGTGGAAATATTCAAGCAAAAAAATGGATGACCACTTCCCAAAGATTCCCGTTCAGGTATAGGTTGGTCTAGATACCTTCTGAAGTACCTTTCTGACTCTTATGTCATGATTCTGTGAGTAGTCCTGATCTGGAAGTTGAAAGACCTGGTTTCTAGTTCTAGCCTTGCCACTGTGTAACCTTATACAGTTCCCTTAGCATATCTAGGACTTAGTTTCCCTCTAAGGTAGTTTGGACTAATGGGTTACACTAAGGTGGCCACTACTCCTGACATTGTGTGAATCTGTAACTCATAACACTTGTTACTCTTCTCTGTCCTTAGGAAAACAAATGGAAAAGTGACTTATCTTCGTGATGGACATTGCTAACTCCCCCCATGAATAAGAGAATAGAAAAATGGTAACTTCATCATCTTCATCACCATCTGAACCACTTTGGTTCCCTGATGTTTCCTGCATGTGTGTGGGTGGGCTGACTGATGTTCCAATCTAGTTGCTATTCTCTGGCAGTACCTGTGGTATCCCTCCTGCCCTTACATATCTGTAAAACACAACACATTTAGTTTTCCTTTTCAATAAAAATAATATTACTGAAAGTTGGGATTCAGTTGTGAAATCAGATTCTCATGGTTAACATAAATATATTCAGTCTGCCACCACATGATAAGCTGTGTTTCTCAGTGGACTTGGAACAAGAAAACATGAGTTTTAGTCCTGGATCTTCTAGTTACTAACAAGATGAGTCTTTTACCTCTGCCTATCTGGGCCTCAGTTTCTATATCTGTAGAATGGCAATGGGAATATTTATGTTACCTATCTCCTAGGGGGTGTTAGGAAAAATCATTTTATAAACAATAGTGTATTATAGAAAGGTGAGCAATCATTATGTAGGCAGGACAAAGTAAAAGGATAGAATAAGCATTCAAAGAAGACAGGAAGTATACTGTTATAATAATCTAGAAATAAGGACTCAGATTGATTAAATTTCTGAACAGATACTTAACAATAAACTTTAAAGTGGGGACAGCTAGGTGGAGCAATGGATGGAGCACTGACCCTGGAGTCAGGAAGACCTGAGTTCAAATGTAGTGTCAGATACTTGACACTTACTTAGCTGTGTGACTGTGGGCAAGTCACTTAACTCCAATTGCCTCACCAATAAATAAACTTTAAAGTGACAGAATATTGTACTATGTGGCCTATTTGTGTCTGTTTTAGTGGACTTTATCACATTACACATTTTTTTATTGTAGCTATTTCTATAAATATCTAATTAGGACTTCACAATGGACCAGAAATGATTTTATGTCCTCAGGGCTATATCAGTGGGCATGCCAGTTCTGACAAGTGCTACCAAATTGGAAGTCTTTGAGTACTGGTCCAGTAATGGAGTGCCCATCTGTCATCTGAGGACTAGCTATGTTAAGTGTGGAGAGCCTCATCAATGAAAGGCTGATCACCAGGGGATGAATATTGTTCAGTTACAACAATTCGTGCAGAACCATTGAATAAGTCACTGAGGATTTGCAACTTGATTCATTTAGGAAACACATTGATGAAATCATATATCCTTGAAGTATTGAAGAAAGGCTTCTGGGTATACTCCACAGCATGCCACACAAAATCTTGCCCATAATCCTGTAATATTTCACTGTATCCAGTATCTCATTGGTGTTAGAACTCTCTCTGGTGGTACAGATGATAATTCATTCATGTCATAATCATCATCGTTGTCATCATCATCACCACCAAAACTGAGATTTATGTTGCATTTTCAAGGTTTACAAAGCATTTTGCATTTGATCTTTACAACAATTCTGAGACATAGGTTCTATTTTTACCATCTCTGTTTCCAGATGAGAAAACTGAGCCTAAGAGGTCAAGAAATTTGCAAGTCAAGTCACACAGCTGCTAAGTGTCTAAGACTGGAATCAGACTCAGCTCTGATTCTCCTACAGCTTACTTGTAAAAACAAAACAAAACAAAGAACCTTATTAAAGTATCTGCCTACTTACCTTCCTGCTTAGTGTCTTTGTTTTGCCCTAGTTTTAAAAATTCTTTGAAATTCAAGAACTAGTCAATGTTTTTCATAGAAATATCACTATCCCTCTTTATAACAATTTGGGATCAACTCATGTGTCCTAAACCATTTCTATTATAAAAAGTAGGACCATACATTTGGGGCTTGATTTAATTAATTCATTCCAATATGTCAATGAAATGGAGCACTGGCCTTTTATTACCTGCTTCCTCTCAATAGGTCATTCTGATTTTCTAGCAGGATAACAAGGCCATGATTGCACTGGAGTCAAAGTTGTTTGAAAAGTACAATGCTTTATTATGAATATATAAGAATATGACTTCAACATTTCAAAAAATCTGTGATCTGATCAATATAGATTATATACATCTTCTGTTTCACATCAAAAACCCTCTATACATTCAAGAATTGTTTTAGGAATTGCTGTGCCCCAAATTTTTGGTTACCTGTGGTGCTAAGGAAGGATTGTTAGTATTAGTAGTAGTAGTGGTGAGAGATTCAATTAAAACAGATTAGCCCAGGAGCATTAAGGATGAATTTAGAAGGAGTAGATCAGACCAAAAAAAAATGGAAAATATCTGCAAACAATTTTTATTTTCTGCAGTGACAGTAGAACTACCGCAGTTGAATTCTAACATCACAATATACTACCTAAGCACGCTCCTCTATTCATGTAGCATAAAGTTGTCTAAATGAATCAGTTGAATCATCCATTGTTGTGTTTAGGGATAAAATCAATTACATGGTTTCTCGATACAACGGTCTCTCTCTATTCATCAAGAGTCCTAGCTTGGCATAAGATTTCTCAAGGTTAAATAATCTTCCAAGAGATTTTTAAGCATTTACCTCAGACTACAAACTTTGCATTGTAGTAACATATCCAGGGCAGGTTTCTTATCTAACCAAAAGGAAAGAGAAGACAAAGAGAGATTTTGTGAAATAAGGGCAGAAAATTCAATAACCTATGGCTTCAAGGACACCTGGATAAGATGAGGGTATTGTAAATAAAACAAAGTTGAATGTACCTATAGGGACCATCCCAGGGAAAATGCACCCAGCACTCCCTGGGAAACTTCCGGGGACTTTAAGCATATGGCACCTCATTGCTTGGGCCGTTCCAGGATGATCAACTGTGTGGCTGTTGCTTTCAGCTAGGTTGTGGCCCCAAGGCTTCCACCTGGGTGACAGAGAGTATGACCTCTGCTTTGACTCTCCTATGCATGGCTAAAAGTGACACTCTCATACTCTCTCACTACTGGCCTCACAAGGAGCAGGGACTCAACCAGGCAGCCTTATCCAGGTGCCCCTAGATGACTATATTCTTTTTTTGTGTTGGTTCTTTCCTTATCTTAAGCAAAATGAGGGGACGTGTGCCAAGTCTTCTAGAGCAGTTGCTCTTCCTGTATTGGTTTCCCACTGTAGAAGTAGAACATTAGGGTTGCACGTTGATAGGTAATTGAAAATATAAAAGATAGGCCTTAATGCTTAGCTGAATTGACTAGATCTATAGCATGGGTTACTCGTTGTCTGTTGAGACTAATTTACTCCTACTTGATCATCATAAAGCACAGGTCTGATGTCAGTCTTTCTCCCTTCTTACCTGTCCCCCTCAACCCCTGACAAACATTCAAGTAACATCAGTAGCTCTCTCTAGAATAAATAAAAAAAACTTCAATTTCTATTCCAAAACTCTCCATAACCTGGCCTCTTCCTATGTCTCTAATGTTATATTTTGCTTTCCACCCCCACCCCCAACATACTGTGCAAGTATCCATGAGCCCCACCACACTGTGCGATCCAGTGACACCAGACCCTTGACATTCCTGGCATAAGTCACTTCATCCCCTTTTCTGAGCATTTTCACTGGCTGTCACTCATGCCTGGAATGCTCTTCCTCTTCATCTCCATCACCTGGATTCTTTGGTTTCCTTGAATCAATGAAAGAGTCTATTGGTTCAGTGAATAGAAGACTGGACCTGGATTCAGGAAGACCTGAGTTCAAATCCAGTGTCAGATACATATTATCTGTGTGACCCTGGGCAAGTCACTTTAACTCTGTTTGTCTCAGTTTCCTCAACTGTAAGATGAGGATAATAACAGCTGTACTTGACAGAGTTGTTATGAGAATAGGAGAAAAATATTTATTTTTCAAAAAGTGTTTGGCATAGTGGTTGGCACATAGCAGGTGCTATATAAAAGCTTATTTTCTACCTGCTTACATTCTACAAGAAGTCCTTCCTAGCCCTCCTTTAACTTAGTATCTTTCCTCCAAGACTATCCCCAATTTATCCTGTACATATCATGTTTGTGAACAGTTAACAGCATGTTGTCTCCCCACATCTGGACTCAAAGCTCCTTGAGAAGAGGATGGTTTTGTGCCTTTTTGCTTAATCCCCCTAGGTCTCAGCATAGTACTTGGCATAGAGCACATGTTTAATAAATGCTTGTTGACTTGACTTGATATGCCAACTGGGCCTAGAATTGAATAGGAGGAAATTCCTATCAGTCAAATGAGTGCCAGAATATTGCCACATGGAAGGGAGACAGAGACCCTTATTTGGAGAGTCTTCTCCATCCAAGAGGAAGGGGGAGGAAGAAACTAAGATGGGATAGGGAGGAGTTCACTCTACCTTTCCATCTGGTTAGTTCTTGTTTTAACCAGCTATTTTTACAAGTTAGGTGCTAAGGTATGTTGTCCTTACTTGCAAAAGGACTTCAGCACCCCCTTTATTCAGTACCTTAAGGCAAAAACTCATCACCACATGCATGTTATAGTTCTGTCTAAAGGTGGTAGTTATAGACTTAAGGAGCTCAAAAATGTGTGTGTGTGTGTGTGTGTGTGTGTGTGTGTGTGTGTGTGTGTGTGAAAACAAGAAAGAATATATCATACATCATACAGGTCAGAATATGTAACCTGGGGTGTAGAATCTTGATAAGCATCGCAGGTGGGGAGAAAGTGGACCTCTTGTCCATAGTTCAGTATCTATGAGCCCTTAAGCTAGCCTTGACAGAGTAACAGAAGTTCAGTTAAGGTCCATGTTTTTCTAAGTGATTAAATAGCCAGGGTCATCAAGAGAAATACCCTTTATTACAGACATTTTCCTATAACCAATAGAACATGCCTCTCGGATATGCTTGGCTGGACAGTTTCCTAGAAACGATATCTGTATACAGTTTTTCATTGAACATGTCAAGCTACAATAATAAGGCACTTTTCAGGCAAAAGTGGAAAATATTTATCTTTAGGAATATGAAACAAGGAAGAATTGAGGATAGACATCATCCTACAGGAACTCTAAAAAGTCAGCACTGACCATCATGGTCTATGTAAACTGGTGGTTCATGTGTTCTGAAGGAAAAAAAATGAAGATAAATCCAATGTTATACTCCTGAATTTTAAACATCTCTAAACCCAAAAAAGGCTAATGTCATCCTCAAAACTAGTGTCCAAATTGAGGTAAGACCCATATGATCATGGGACCATAACATCATAGAATTAGAGCTGGAAGCAATTTTAGAGACCATTCCTTTAGAGTCCCACTGACCTCTACATTA